TCACCGCAGCCTTGACCTGCTGGGCTCTGGCGATCCTTCCGCCTCAGCCTTCCAAGTAGCTGGAACTACAGGCGTGTGCTACCACACCCGGCTCCTTTTTTATTTATTGTAGAAATGAGGTCTCGCCAAGTTGCCCAGGTGGGTCTTGAACCCACGGGCTCAGGCAATCCACTCGCCTCAGCCTCCCAAAGGCGCAGGATTTACAGGCTGAGCCACTGAGCCCGGCTTGTTTTTATTATGACTGTGAATATATTTTTAGTCTTAAAGAATGTCTTGACTTAGCTCTTATTCAGGATCTAAACTGGCTTTGTCATTTTACTCTTTTAGAAAGACAGGTATCTTTTCTAGTCTTGCTGTTAGAATAAATGAATTACTGCTGGCATTGACAGAAGTTTAGTGTGGATTATGATCCAGGTTTGTGTGTGGGTGATCATTCTTATTCATGAAAGAACTTAGGACATTCTGAAGGACTGTGATCAAAGGTGTTGGTCATTTGCTGGCTCGGTGTTCCCTCCCTATGGTTCTTTTGACTGGAAACACCCATGTGTTTGGCCTTAATTATTCCTTAAGGGGTATATATGAATCTGCTACTCCACAACCAGAAAGTATTATCATTTCCCAAATTGAAAGAGTAATCTTTATCTTGTAGTCTTTTTTCAGTATTTTGGATTCTGCTGTTCTGTTTTCCTTTGGGATTTATTAAGATAATTTTTTTTTTTTTTTTTGAGTTGGAGTCTCACTCTGTCACCCAGACTGGAGTACAGTGGCTGCTCCCAGCCACTGCAGCCTTGACCTGCTGGGCTCCGGACATCCTTCCGCCTCAGCCTTCCAAGTAGCTGGAACTACAGGCGCGTGCTTACACACCCGACTAATTTTTGATTTATTGTAGAGATGAGGTCTTGTCAAGTTGCCCAGGCGGGTCTCGACTCAGCAATCCACTCACCTCAGCCTCCCAAAGCGCGGGATTACAGGCTGAGCCACTGAGACTGGCTAGGATAATTTTTTTTTAAGACATTTCAACTTGAGGATGGCAGAATTGTAGGCTTGATAATTTCTATCTAATTGACATGCCACAATGTATTAGTAAGTTCTGGATGGCAGGGGTCATGTGCTGCATTTATCTGCTATAATGCCATCTATGCAGTATGTGCCTTTTTTTTTTTTCTTTTTTCCTTTTGGAGTTGGAGTCTCACTGTCACCCAGGCTGGAGTGCAGTAGCACACTCACAGCCACCACAGCCTTGACCTGCTGGGCTGAGGCAATTCTTCTGCTTCAGCCTTCCAAGTAGTTGAAACTAGAGGCGCACACCACCACACCTGGCTGATTTTTTAAAAATGTATCTTAGAGACGAGGTCTCACCAAGTTGCCCAGGCTGCAGGCAGCCTCCTCGCCTCTGCCTCCTAAAGTGCTGGGATTACAGGTGTGAGCCACTGTACCTGGCTCAGTGTGTTAATAAGATCAAGTCAAGTGCTCGCTTCGGCAGCACTTGTCTTAAAACTGAAAAGTACAGATAAGACTAGCATGGCCCTGCACAAGGATGACACACAAATTCGTGGGCTGTTCTAAGAAATAAAAAGGAATAATAGCAAGTTAATTGAATTGCACATATTTGTTGTTAATTTTTTAAATAAAACATATTTATTCCCTCCGAGCTTGATAGGAGAGTTAGTCACCTAGAGGGCCAAGCGTAATTAGACTCCTGTTTAGAATTCCCTAAGCTGCTGCAGCTTGTATTTTATCTTTTTAAGAGGGAAGAGAAAGCAGGTCTCATGGTTTTCTTTCTCCATGTTTGTATCAAACACTCATCTCACTCATCTGTCTTTTTTTTTTTTTGAGTCTGCGTCTCACTCTGTTGCCCAGACTAGAGTGCAGTGGCTCATGGCTCACGTAGCCTCTACTTGCTGGGATCAAAGCGATCCTTCTGCCTCAGCCTCGTGAGTAGCTGGGACTACAGGTGCGTGCCTCTGTGCCCAGCTAATTTTTTTTATGTTTTGTAGAGACCAGGTCTTGCTAAGTTTCACAAGCTGGTCTCAAACCCCTGGGCTCAGGCAATCCTCCCGTCTCGGCCTCCCAAAGTTTTGGGATTGCAGGCGTGAGCCATCACTCCTGGCCATCTGTCATCTTTAAAAGGACCTCATGATACCCATTACTCATCTGGCTGTATTTTTTCCCTTCTAGGTGAGGAAAATAGCCGCTGAATACTATGACAACCTTCCCCACTATAATTCCTGGATAAAAGTACTCTATGATTTTGTGGTGGATGATACAATAAGTCCCTACTCAAGAGTGAAGAGGCATCAGAAAGGGCAAGTGGTGCTGGAATAAATATCATCCCAAGGAACTCCTCCCCGAAACTTTGACGTAGGCGAGAAAGTGGAATCTTTGCCTGTCCCTAAGCTTCTAAGACCGGAGATGCTCAGAAGCTGCCTGGAGTATCCAAGTGGGAGCTCATGGTATCAGAAAGTTAACTTGGCTCTCCGCGGTCAGCCTGTCCCTGTAGTGCTCAGCTTAACTCACAGCAAACTTGTGTGGTCGTCATTAAGGAAGTTTCCCCGTGTCTGTCATTTCGTAAGCTATTGTAAGAAAGCCTTTACAAAGCAACTTCTAGCTCATTTATTTTCACTATAAAGTTGTACTTTATTCAAATAGCTAATAAACTGGGCTATTAATCACAATACATTAGCATTGTTGTATTTTTGTACTTCATTGTCTTTATACTATATAATATGGTACCCAGGGAGTAGGGGGAACTTATTTTTTATTTTTATTATTGAATTGGAGTCTCACTCTGTTGCCCAGGCTGGAGTGCAATGGCAGGATCATAGCTCATCATAGCCTGGAACTCCTGGGCTCAGGCAACCCTTTCACCTCAGCCTCCCAAGTAACTGGTACTACAGGCACATACCACCATGCCTGACTAATTTTTGGTTTTTTTGTGGAGGCGACGTCTTGCTGTGTTGCCCAGACTGATCTCAAACTCCTGGGCTCCTCCCGTCTTTGCCTCCCAAAGTGCTAGAATTACAGATGTGGGCCACTGCACCTGGCCAGGAACTTGCTTTATAATTTCATCCAAAAAATATATTTTTTTTTTAGTTAGAGTCTCACTCTATTGCCCAGGTTGGAGTGCAGTGGCAGGCTCACAGCCACCGCATCCTTGAACTGCTGAGCTCAGGCCACCCTTCCGCCTCAGCTTTCCAAGAAGCTGGAACTGCAGGCATGTGCCACCACACCTGGATAACTTTTTAAAATTTTATTGTAAACCGGGCTCGGTGGCTCAGCCTGTAATCCTGCGCTTTGGGAGGCTGAGGTGAGTGGATTGCCTGAGCCCGCAGTTTCGAGACCCGCCTGG